CTAATTTAGATTAACCAAAAATAGTATCAATCTCTTCAGATTTTAGTATGGGATCACGTTTGATCACAGTGAAAGTGTTTTCTCTGAATCCAGAACTGCGAAATGGAGGGCCCTGTTTGCTGGATTGGTGGCTGGACCATCGATGCTTCTCACAGGGCCAAACACACAACACACGAGTTTGGCTGTGTACATATTTATGCGTGCAGCGGTCCTTGCATCGCGTTGTGGCATTAAAAGTAAACGGTTTGGTTCCATCTGCAAGCCGCTTACATGGAAACATGGGGACTTATTTCTCATGTGTCTCTCATCGTCACAGATTTTGTATGTTCTCTCTCTCGATTACAAAGATAATTTTTTTTTCTTAGATTCAAAGTAGGGAACTACTTATAGCAAAGCTGAGTTGTTTAGGGAATAGCTTCAAACATCTGGCTCAGTTGTTACTAGGTTCTTGAAGTTCTTATTTTTCTTACTCTTGGGTTCCTGATTATGTAGACTACAGAATTCCTTCTTAGATTAGTAATCACATATTTTTCAGGTCCGCTTATATTTTAAAGCAAGAAAGCCTTCCTTCATCGTACAAATCTTTCCTTAACAAACAAGGTGGGAAGGATCTTTCTATCTTACAAGGCGTAAAAGATATTGCAAGCGCCAAACCATTCACCAATTTAGGGGCGATTGAGATATATTACAAGTCTATTGGAGTTGATATCAAACTGGATCCTAACATGAAATTCCCCTGTTCGGTAGGTTTATATTGGATCTTCTGTTCTATCAAGTATCAATAACAAGCATCACTCGCCTCCTTCATGGTTGTTAAAATGAACAGGGCATTTACTCCTGAAATCAAAAGAGGAACTTTAATAGAGCAATGGAGATTTGAAAATATTCATATTGATAATATCCGGAAAAGTTTCTTTCTTTTTTTCTTTCCCTAGCGTTTTCAATGTTTATGCATCTTTGTGGATGTTTGAAGTAGTTCATTGAGCTGCATGACTGGCTGTTTGTGATATGAATCTTGAAAAGTCTTACTCGATACTTATGTTCTTTCTTGCAGATAATACATGGAAAAGATTCATGTATTAAGCATGGTATAACATTTTTCTTTCAAGCTTACATGAGGGCTCTACCCGTCTATGTCCCTGTTTACTTGATTCCAGCGCTCATAGTCCATCGGCAAGACCTGCTAAAAAAGTAATTGATTTATTTCGCACAGAATCCTTCAAGTTTTTTTAAATCCTCGCTAAATGGTATATAGTTTGTGTATGATGATATCATTCATCACCTCATAAAATATTTCATCCCCAATCTCACAGGCAATACTCTATACTTGGCAAGGGTCTTTTGGGCACGGCGAGATCAAGTTTGTTTCTCTCTACGTACTGCTCTTCTGCCTGGTTAGAATCAAATCTTTGAAAGCTCTTAATCTCATCTTACCCCCACCCCTTTTTGATCCATCATAGCTTAACTAAAAAGTACAAACATAGTAAACTTGTTGGCATTCATCGATTTTTGTTCTCACTTGACTCGAAAACTTATACCATCTTTTAAAATTATCTAAACTAGGGCTTGGACTTGCCTACTTTTCCGGACATTTCAGACATGCAACATACCGCTCGTGGCCATAGCAACGGTACAACCTAGTTCCTTTTTCAGAAGACATTCAATTAAGTATTATACCTTACCCGAGGCTTGTTCTGCAGTTCCCAACAGGTCTGGCCTTAGCCATTGAGAAGAAAAGCAGAAGGATAGAAATATCACTATACTGCTTAGCGAGGGCAATAGAGAGCTTCTTCACTTGCATGACAGATGCTGGATACATTAGACCACCCAAGAGCCTAAGAAGAGCGGATGTGGTCGTGTTCAGCGTTTCGACAGCCATTATAATGCACTGCTACGCGCAAGAAAGAGAGGTATTTCGATCGAAATACTTGAACGTTCTAGATTGGGTGTTCGGCGTTCCTCCTCCTCCTCCTTGTGAAACAACCTAGAGACATTTATTTTCTAATTATGGACTTCAAAAGGGTGAAATAATAAGTTATTATGGGGAAGTTTCGAAAGTTTTCAATTAACCGAAAGATCTTTGATGTGGTATAGAATTTTGTGGTAGAATTTTCTCTTTAGAA